GTTACTAAGGGAAACCAGGATGCTTAGTGCCAGCATCTTACCTGTTGCAGCTGATGTCTGGAAAGAGGCCCAAACTCTGCTCCCTGGGTCCCTCAGGGGTGTAATGTGGGGCTGCAGGGACCTGGAGCCTGGGTCTAGGCATGAGCGGGTACTTCCTAAGCCCTACTAATGTTCTCTGCAGGCCCTTCTAAAGTAAAAAAAAAAAATCTTTTTTCCTAATCGCATCTCTGCTTTCCATAAGCCTGCTCATTCTCAATTTCTCTATCTGGGAAAAGTCAACCTGGGAAGGTACAATGAGGAAGGCTGCCAGCAGGTGGAAGGAGCTCAAAGAGTAGCAAAACCCTAGTCCCCCTCTTTCCTCCTTCCATTATACTGAGCCCTTGGGTGCTACCCCCCAAAATGCAAAAGGCAGGATGGGACATTCCCAGGCTGCCTCCCACAGAGAGTCCCTTCTGGAGGGGAAGTTCTTTCCCAGAGTGCCCAGAAGACTTGCAGGAGAGCCACAGCTGCTGGGCTATGTCAAGTGAGAAACAGACCTAGCTTGTCACTGAAAAAGCAACCCCAGGAGATACCTGAGTTAAGGATATTTATAGCCCTGAAGTATGCACCCTTGAACTTGCTTGCATGTGTTTAAGTTAACAGACAAAGCAACAGCCCAAAAGCATACATATGGATTCACACAATGAGGCCCTGGCTAAATCTGGAACTCTAGAGAATCCAAACTTACCCCAAACACACACCCTCCCGAGTGTGGGTATTCCGAGACCTGGAATAAACTGGGTATCAGTCTCCTCTCTTTAGGATATCAAGTTCTGCCTTCCTGCCAAGGATTATGAGATCAGTCTGGAGCCAGCAGCTCCAAGAGCAGTTTGCCAGGCAGCTCCCCATGGCTTGTCTGCACAGAAAGCAAGAGCTTTTCCCACTTCCCGTGTACTCCAAACAGTGCAGAGGCAGGAGGGAAAGTCTTGCCTCTCCAGTCCCTCTCTGAGCAGAAAGTGGGGCTGCTGCACAGCCTACGCTGGATTCCTGAAAGCTGGGCAAGAAAGGAGAAGCTCCGCGGAGGCAACGGGCAGGAAGCCAGACACCCCTGATCAGGGCCCCAGGGAGGAGGAAGGCGCTGCCCTCAACTTCCACTCCAAAATGCTTGGCAGTCAAAATGTCAGCTGCTCCTGGACCACCTAGGGGCTTGGCCAGGAGAAGGAGCTTCCCTGCTCTGATGTATGTGATGGGGACTAACACTAACCAACACACTCACGAATTCATGTTTCTTCCTCCTTCTCTCTCTCTCTCTCTCTCTCTCTCTCTCTCTCTCTCTCTCTCTCCCTCTCTCTCTCCCCCCCCCCGCGCTCTCAGACACACCCCCCACAGCCGC